TTAGTATTCTGTCTGATAAACCTGTTAATTGGGAGAGAGGAGCTTTGAAGTCTCTTACTATTCGTGTGTGTGGTTTGATGTCTGCCTTTAGTTCTAGTAATGTCTCTTTTACGTAGGTGGGTGCTTTTATATGAAGGTCATAGATTTTCTGGATTGAGAATTCACCCTGATTAATTGTTTCTGTTATGAGTATAAAATGTCCATCTCCGTCTCTTCTGATTGTTTTTAGTTTGAAAGCAGTTTTGTTAGAAATTAATATGACCACACCCTCTTTTTTCTTAGGTCCACGTGATGAAAAAAACTTTTCCCAACTCTTTAATCTGAGTAAATGTCTGTCTTGTGGTTGAGGTGTGTTTCTTTTAAACAGCAGAATGTTGGATTCTGTTTTTGCATCCAATCTCTTAGCCTGTACCTTTTTATAGGTAAATCAAGTCCATTGATATTAAGTGATATTATTGACCAGTGGTTGTTAACTCTGGTCATTTTTTTGGTAGTAGAGTTTGTGTGTTTCCCTTCTTTGAGGTGTGCTGGTGAAGGGTTGTTAGATATCTGAGTTATTGTGGGCATTGTTGGATTCCTTGGGTTGTGATTTCCCTTCTATTACTTTCTGGTAATGCTGGATTTGTGCCTACGTATTGTTTAAATTTGTTTTTATCTTGGAATACCTTGTTTTCTCCATCTATGATGAAAGAAAGTTTGGCTGGTTATAGTATTCTGGGCTTTCATCTATGATCTCTTAATCTCTGCTATGCATCTATCCAAGCCATTTTGGCTTTTATGGTTTCTTTAAAGATGTCAGGTGTAATTCTGATAGGTTTCCAATTATATGTTACGTGATCTTTATCCTTTTCAGCTTTTAACATTCTTTCTTTATTCTGTATGTTTTATCTTTTGATTATTATATGGCAAGGGGAATTTTTTTTTGATCCAGTCTCTTCGGTGTTCTGCATTCTTGTACCTTCATAGGAATATCCTTCTTTAGGTTGGAAAAGTTTTCTTTTATAATATTGTTGAATATGTTTTCTGTGCCTTTGAGGTGTAATTCTTCTTCTTTTACCCCTATTATTCTTAGGTTTGGTCTTTACATGGTGTCCTAGATTTCCTGGATGTTTTGTGTTAAGAATTTTTGGATTTCTGTTTTCTTTGATTAGTGTGTTTATTTTCTCTGTAGTATCTTCAGCATCTGAGATTCTTTCTTCTATCTCTTGTATTCTGTTGGTTATACTTGTCTCTGTGGTTTCTGTTCATTTACCCAGACTTTCCATATCCTGCCATCTCTCAGTTCGTGTTTTCTTCATTGCCTCCATTTCAGTTTTCAAGTCTTGAACTGTTTCCATTACCTGTTCGATTGCTTTTTCTTGGGTATCTTTGAGGGATTTATTCATGTTTTTCTAACTTTTTGTTAGTCTTCTCATCCATTTCTTTAAAGGAGTTTTTCACATCCTGTTTAATGGTCCCTAACACTTTCATAATGTTATGTTTAAAGTCTATTTCTTCTACTTCTTCTGGATTAGGGTATTCAACTCTTCCTGCTGTATGTTCGCTGGATTCTAGTGTTATCATGTTGCTTTTCAGATTGTTGGAAAAATTCTTGCATTGGCACCTGCCCATCTCTTTCTTCAAATGCTCTTAGGAGATTTTTGGCAGCTTAGTCCGATCTTTGCTATGGCTAACTTTGTAATTGAAGGTTTTTCTTTATCTGCCCCTTCTTAGGTCCCCTCAGACCAGGAGTTGGCTCTCAGATCCTCCCCACCCTGAAGTATGCTCTGGTGGCAGATCCCTCCAGATGGATCTACTGGTACTGAATCAGGGCCACTTGCTGGGCAAGGACCTAGCAGACAAAAGGGCAGGCTTGGTAGATACCAGCTTGGTGGAACAAAGAAACCCCTGAAGCCTTGCACTCACCACTGTGTACACAGACACTCAGCCCTGAAGCAGGCTGAGTTGGGGGATCCTAGGACCAAGCTGATAGAAAAGTGTGCTTGAGGGAAAATTGGGGTGAGATATGTAGAGAAAGACAGTAGCCAGGGAGAAGCCCCACTGAATGGCCAGGAAGTTTAGGGAACTGGAGGGTGCCTGTGCTCCATTTCCGGGGCTATGGCTGGCCAGGCGGTAAAACACTTACCCCTCCAGATGGATCTACTAGTACTGCATTAGGGCAGTTGCTGGCCAAGGACCTTGCAGACAAAAGGTACTGGATCAGGGGCACTTGTTGGCCAAGGACCTTGAAGACTACAGGTTAGGATAGGTAGGTGCTAGCTCAGTGGAATAAAGTTACCACTGTTTCCCCAGAACCTCAGTCCCGAAGCAGGCTGAGTTGGGGGTTCCTAGTTTCACACAGATGGAATGGGGTGTCTGGGGCAAGCTGGGGTGGGATAAGTAGAGAAAACAACTAGCCAGGGAGAAGCTCTGCTTAATGGCCAGAAACTTTAGGGGATTGGAGGGTGCCTGTGCTCCCTTCCCTGGGCATCTGGCTAGCTGGGAGGCATATACTTACTTCTCCAAAATGATCTACTGGTACTGGATTCTGTTTTTTTTTTTAAATGAAGGCATTAGACCTGCATCCACAAATCACAAATACACATTTGGATTCATTGTAGTTTCCTGTAACAGTCTAAATCTGTTGTAATGGAAAGTTTTCTCAATGAAGACTAAGGACTATATTTATCTTGGGGTATAAGAACAAACATTTAGAAATAATTAGACATTTGTCTGGTTAAGTACTATAGTGTGAAGGCGTAAGTCACAGACAATACCACACCAGTTTGGAATTATGATTAATAGAATGGTTATTTATTCAAAGGGGAAAAAACTTACAGATTACCATCCCAGACAACAGCCCCTCCACGCGAACAGGAAAGGAGTCTAGAAGCTGGAAGTTGAGCTGGAAGCCAGAGAGAGAGAGGAGGACAACCGCTGCTTTTTTTAAAGAGAGAGAGACCACGCTCCAATGGACTAGTAACTCAGCGGTGATTGACTGATGGGGCGGAAGAAGCTCCTGCAGCAATAGTGGTTGTAGGTTTTTCTCTAAGATCCATGACTTGTGTAGCCTGCAATTGTTAGCTAGTTAGGTTTCCAGTACCAGTCATGATTTCCCACTTGTTATGTGAGCCTTAAGTCCAATTAGAGAGCAGTTGGTTACTGCCAGGTATTGGCACTTAAACTGTACCCTTACTGTTACCCTGTCTGCATAGTTGGCATGGTTTATAGGTATCTTACATGGATAAGATTGAAGTGTGTCCATCTATTTAAAACTTGCATGTCTTTATGAATGATTCCCTCTGCTCAGAGGGGCCCATAATTGGCCAGAGTACTTTGGACTAGCTAAATCTCTAGGTGGTCTGTCACCAGTATTTTACCTTCCCTGAATTCTCACACAGCCATACATTAACACCCTGCCCTGTCTTCACTCCATTCAGTTGTCTGACCCCTTACCCCACAGTCACTTTACACGTGCCAGGCACTTATCAACTATCAATGTCCATTTCCATATTGTTCCCAAGAATGAACACATCCTAACCCTCAACATGCTCTATGCACTCTCTTCTTGCAGTAGTCTTCCCTTATCACACCTTATTTCCTCCACCCAGTCTAACAGGCTACATCCCTCTCACGTGTCACATCCCCCAACACTGGTCCTCCATCATATCCCTGCCCCAAGGCCTGCATCCTACCTCTTCACTACTTCACCATCACCCAGAGAACTCACCCTATTTTTCTTTCCTCGTGCACATCTCTCCACTTCCAAACAGCAACCATCCACCTCCTTGTCCTCTTGTCTTCTCCCAATGACTTTTTCTGCACACTTTTTGTAGCTCTTATTGTTAGATTTGATTCTGAAGATCATACCATTCACCCATTCTGTCTTGGAACTCATATCTCCTGCTTCAAACCTCCCTGCTGACTGTCATGAATTTTTGTAAAGAAGAATTTAAGACTACTTAATATATTTTCAGCTATCCAAATACAAGCATTGAACACTACCTCCTTCAAAGAAATTCTGCAACATGATATTGCACAAATATTTATAAAATTGTGGGCACAAAGGTAGCTTAGAAGTAATGTTTGGATCGCCGCTGACCTAGCATATAACCAGACTTTGAGTTCCAGCACCCCTGTTATTGGCTGATAATTTTCAGTAACCCCCGGTTTGTGGGGATTGCAGTCCTATTATGGACTAAACAGGCATTTGGAGAATATCTCAATCCCATAGACATACATGGTGGCAAAATGCCCAGACTTTAGTTTGAACTACAAATTATAAGCTAAAAATTAGTAAAGAAATATTTAAGTGAATAAAATTTAATCCCAAATAGAAATGATTACAATTTTCCTCATACATGCTGGCGATAAATTCTCAGAAATTCATTTAAAAAAATCTCGAAGTATTATTAATGCATGGATAGGTCCTAATTTCTAAAATTTGTGATAACTTATTAGCAATACGGACACATGCCTTTAATCCCAGCATTCCAGGGTCAGAGGCAGACAGATAGCTGTATCTGAAGCCAGTATTATGAGAACTCTGCCTAAGAAATTTATTTTCTTTTAATTTTTTTCGACACAGAATTTCTATGTGTAGCAGGACTGCCAGTCCTGGAACTTGCTTTATACACCATACTGGCCTCAAACTCAGAGATGTGCCTGCTCCTACCTCCCTAGTGCTGAGATTAAAGGGCTACACCATCATTGCCTGAAGGAGAATTTTTTCTTTTTAAATTAAAAAATAAAACCAATTTATGGTCCTGCAATAGTGGCACATACTTTTAATCCAAGGTACTCTGGAAGCAGAGATAGGTGAATCTCTGAGTTGTGGGCTAGCCTGGTGAGTTCCCAGGCAGCCAGACTACACAGAGAAACCCTGGTTTGAAAAGCCCGCCCCTTCCTCCTGGTGGAGGCCTGGTGCTGATTGGCCTAAACTAAATTCTGCCCTTTGAGCCTTGGCAACAGTGGAGGGAACGGCAGTCATTGGAGGGCGCCATTAGCCAATGGTGGAGAGCCCCAGTCTGAGGAAGTGGTTCCCGGGCATGGAGTGTACTCCTCTTTGAGAAACCCTGAAATAGAACTCGAGGCAGCAGCATGATGGCAAACCGTGAGGGTAAGTGTCTT